CTCATCAGGTGGAGGTCAAAGTTCAGGCCTGGGGACATCGGGGGTGGGGTTCCGGCCTGGGTGTGTTGAGTCGGTGTTGGGGTTCAAAGACGCCTGTCCAGTGGGCTTGGGAGATGGGTGAGTGGTGGGCTCAGCCTTCTAGATCAGCAAATAGAGCGCGGAATTCAGGGGTCCTGGGTTGAAAGTTGGGGAACCAAACGTTTGCAAACGGAAGAGTCCTAGCAACTTATGTCTGGCGGCCTTGAGATACCTGGCACTTCAGCCCCTCCCAGGAGAGAGGGCCAGATGGGGTGTGTCCACACCAGCCCGAAGTCGGACTCGGGGTTTAAGACTCGGACGTCAGCCCACCCAGTTGGGAACTTTCTGGAACTGAGAACTTGCCAGCTGGCTGCTCGGACACCATTCCGTCCACCTGTCCCTTTCTCCTCCTCCGGCCAGAAGCCCTCGCAAACATACATCGGAGGTGGGAGGGGGGCAGGCGGGGTTTGTAGCGGCTGCTGCCTGTCTCCAAAGTCTGGAACTTTCTAGAACACCAACGGTCCTCTCTGGGGTGGTAGGGATTTGCAGATTTGCATTGGGGTAGCCAGTAGCCACTAGCCACATGGGAACAATGAATGGGCCCTTGAAATGTGGCCAGTGTGACTGAGGACAGTCACACGCCCTGGCCCTGGCCAAGTAGCTCCGTTGGTTGGAGCGTCATGCTGATCCCACCAGGGCTGCAGGTTCGATCCCCAGTCAGGGCCCATGCAGGAAACTGGTGGGTGCATGGATGGGTGGGACAACAGGTCCATGTTCCTCTCCCTCTCCCTCTCTAGGCCAATGGGGAAAAAAATAATCCACATATATAAAAGCCTAATATGCAAAGTGTCCCCTCAGGAGTTCAACCAACCGGGAGTTCGATCGCTCTCTATGATGTGCGCTGACCACCAGGGGGCGGTGCAGAATGCAGAAAGGCCCTGGTCAGCAGCGGGCAGCCACTAGGACCCTACCTGTGCACAAATTTCATGCACTGGGCCTCTAGTAATAAATAGTCACGTGCAGCTTCTGGCTACCATATTGAACAGTGTCCTTTTAGAATGTTCCAGGAAAACAACTCTTTTTCAAACGTTAAACCTCATCCCAGCAAATGCCCGCCGACACAGGAACGGGTGGAATGGCCTGTTGCAGGGTAGTGGGGTCCAGACACCTGGCCCACCTCGTTCTCGATGGCCCTGCCCCCACCAACACGGGGTTCTAGCTCCGATGGTTCTAGGTGGGCCGAGGCTTTCGTGCGCCTGCCCCGAGTTCACCGACCTCCTCTGGCCCTTTCCCCTCCCACACAAGCACCTCCCGACACTGGCAGTGACGTTTATTTCTCTGGGGCGGGGTTATATACAGCAGTGACCCGGATGGAGGCCCGGGAGCCCCTCGCCCCCACCAGGGGCCCGGGTGGGGGGAGGAGGCATTGGCAGAGGCACGTGGTGGCAGTGGCCGCAGGCCAGGGGTCGTGGGTGGGGGTGTAGTGTGGCCTGGGAGACCCCGATGGGGACAGGCAGCTGGTCCCTGGAGCTCGCGCTGGCTCCTCTACAGGACGACGCAGGGGCAGCCCCTGGCCTTCTTCCTGGGGGCGCTGGGCGGGCTGGGTGGCAGCTCCTGCTCCTGGTACTTCCTGTGGGAAGAGGCTGGTGAGTTTGGGCCCCAGGGGTTGGGGACAGAAG